CCTGACTACCCTGTATATACTTTTTCTAATAACAGCTTTCAACATTTTAGCTAATTTATCACTTGTTTTAGTAGTTGGTACTTAGAAGCTTGTCAAACACAGCTAATCGTTTGAGAAACAAACAGCTAATGGGTTAAAACACATTTGATTGAGGAACTAGACGTGGCACCGACAAGCTGATTTACTGAACAGATGTGCCTCATTTGGAGTTAATACATTGTTTAGACTGCTTGATACAACAGCATACCATTCTGCACCAGAGATCAATACTTATAAATGACACATTTTCCCTTTATTGCCTCAGAGGGGTGGTCACATATTACATTGAAAGTACAAAGTTCACATTATGGTATAATTAGCTAACATAAGTTCTGAGTAATATGAATAAAGAACATTTGCTTAATATGCAATAATAATTAGTGGTGCCTGCTAAGGCAATTGACACTATTATTATTGTTCATACTTATTAGTGGTCTTGGCTAAGTAGATATGGTAAAAAATAAATGAAAAAAGTGTTAATATTTTAGTTTGTTAGGCCAAAATATAAGTCTTTGTTATATTGTAGCTCATTAGGTAAACTATGTATGGGTCACGTGCAACATTAAAAGAGGTGTAAAAGACCTCATATGTGACCCTGGACCACAAAACCAGTCTTAAGTAGCACGGGTATATTTGTACCAATAGCCAACAATACATTGTATGGGTCAAAATTATAGATTTTTCTTTTATGCCAAAAATCATTAGGATATTAAGTAAAGATCATGTACCATGAAGATATTTTGTAAATTTCCTACAGTAAATATATCAAAACTTTATTTTTTATTATAATATGCATTGCTAAGCACTTCATTTGGACAACTTTAAAGGCGATTTTCTCAATATTTAGATTTTTTTGCACCCTCAGATTCTAGATTTTCAAAAGTTGTATCTCAGCCAAATATTGTCCTATCCTAACAAACCATACATCAATGAAAAACTTATTTATTCAGCTTTTAGATGATGTATAAATCTCAATAAAAAAAAAATCAACCCTTATTACTGGTTTTGTGGTCCAGGGTCATATATAATAGAAATGGCCTCCATTTCATTTTGACAGTCAATTCTGCGTTTACACTGGCAGTCATGAAATCGTAAAAGGAGTCTTTTGCGGACTTCAAATGAAGTCTGAAATATTTAGGTATGACCATGTAAATGACCACTGTAGGAAAGTATTTTCCTTTAGTTTCACTTTAATATTTTACCAATAGAGGGCGCATATCTTTTCATCTTACTGATACCTATACACCTTCCCTTTAAGACACTGCGTTTTATACACCACACGCGCTGGGTTAGAGTGAGCATCCGAACTTTGAAGTTGTGTGCGTTCATGCAGAAAAACCACACACATACCCATCCCAAATACTTTTGCCTGTATACCTTTATGCTCACTAAAGTGGTCTGTATAAACCCAACTCATTAAAGCTTTCTTGGATGTGACTCTCTGAGCCCTTTACTCTCTTACCGGAGTCGCCAGTTTTCAAAGGTCTATCAGAACAATCCAGAGGTTTCCACCTCTACAAAAGGAAAAGAGAAATAAAATTACATAAATCAAGTGATTTAGAACAAACAGGATAACACTATCAAATGTAAATTATCAGATTACATCATCAGATATAAAGCTGTACGCCAGGGTTTCTCAACCTTTTGCCTACTGCGACCCACTTTTTTTTGTATGCCAGTCATATGACCCACTAAGGCTGGAAATAAATAAATAACTGAAATGCCTCTTTAGACCTAGGCTACACCGTATATGCTTATTATAATTAATTTCACAAAAACGTTCAATAATTAGACAGACTATGAGGCAAACTGATTTATTTTATTTTATTTATTTATTAACTCACGTTAATGAGACATTTGAGACTGCCGCTCTGAAATGAATATATCCAAATGCGGTGGAATTCGGGAAAGGGTGAATCCAGTGAATCCATATTTAACATAGTCTGGGTTGTACTTGCGTTGTTTACATTTTGCTGCCTTTGAAGTGGAAGGAGTTTCTGAATCTTCTGCTTTTTTTTTTTTTTTTAAACGGATGCATTTTGTCAAGCTAACAGGCCGTGGCTGTGTATAGTAGGTCTGGCATAGCAAT